GGCCACCGAGTGGGGATCGTCCAAGGAGGACGAAGCCGTGCGCGTGTACGAAGCCTTCGCCGGGAGAAAAGTTTCGCATCTTTTATTCAACGTTTTGAGCGCCGACGACGCCGAACTGTGGATCGGGGCTTCCCCCGACGGGTTGATCGGCACGAACGCCGCGGACGTGGACGGTGAAATCGGCGGCGTGCTCGAAATAAAGTGTCCTTTCAACAAAGGCTCGCCGACGACGGCGTCGCCGTACGCCAAGGTGCCGTGGTACTACGTCCCTCAAGTGCAAGGATTGATGGCTGTTTTCGATCGTCCGTGGTGCGATTTAGTTTCGTACACCGTCAACGGTGGTGTCGCAATTTACCGCGTCGAGCGCGATCACGATTATTGGAATCTACTGTACGAATGCTGCAGCGAATTTTGGTGGCAGCACGTCGTCCCCGGCAAGCACGCGCTCGCCGCGGGCAAGGATGCGGAAAAGTACCGACCCGCGAGCGAGCACCCTCTGTGCGCCGAGCTCAAGCGCCGGAGCAAGGCGATCGCGGACAAGAGTCCGACGACGTGGATCGCTCCCGACCGAGTCGCCGACTTACGCCGACGATGATCGTAACGCGACCGAGGAAACATTGAGAGGCCGCGGAAACGCGCGAGATGTGTGAACCACACGGGGATCGCAAATGAACGATCGCGCTCGAAGAATTAAAGATTCAGAATGAACAGCGATTCACCCAACTTGTCGCCGTCTGCTGAGCGGTGTTTGCACCGCCGCTTTCAGGGCGTCGAGCTTGCGACGCGCATAGGTCAATAATCCTGCACGTAGCCTAACAAACTCTGTAAAGTATTACACGGATCTCAGGATCAAAGCCCGAGCTTGGCGCGCTCGAGTTCGAGCACCTTTTGCACTCGCTCCAGCGCTCCCGGCGTCTGTCCCGACCCGCTCGCCGCGTCGTACTTGGGTCCGACGACGTCGACCTCATCCATGACGACGATGACGTCCTTATTCCACTTGCACGGCAACGTTCGAGCTAAAGCGTCAAACACGTCCTGCGCCAAAGCGCTGACGTTTTCGCCGATGTTGTCGCCCGCGGTTTTCGCCGCTCGGCACGCCGCCTCGAAGCGGCGCTCGCGTCGAGGATCGTCCACGGTTGGCAACGCCTCGGGATCCTTCGCCGTCGACGCGTCGATCTCGATGTCTTTCGCGCCCGCGACGTTGACGAACTTCAAATCGTACGAGTTCGATATCTCACCGGGCGTGCGCACGACGAGCAACTTTGCGCCATCGTCGTACGCGAAGATTTCACCGCGAAAGCTTTCACCGCTCGCCGTCGTCCCTTTCGTCACCGTGGCGCCGTGCGCGTACGAGGTCGACATGATCGCGATGTACTCTCAGCGCTCGCGCGTCGCGGGCCTCGACGACGACGACGACGACGACGACGCCTTGTGCGGCCGCACCCGTGGGACGGGACCTTCGCGGCCGCACCCGTCCCACCTCGTGCGTCAGTGCGCGACGCGTGATGACGTCGAACGGCGCATCGCATCGCGGGATGCACTACCGCGCGCAACGACTGAGCGAGCGCCTGGCGCTCGTGGCGCTGTCGACATCGGCGATCGTCGCGTTCGCGTGCGGCTGGTTCGCGAGTGATTACGACCTCTTGAAACGCATATACTTTGGGGGAGTGTGCGGAACGGTTGCGATCGTCGTGCCGCATTGGGAGTGGATTTACGGCTCGAAGGACGGGATGAAGTGGCGCGCGAGCACGGGGCGATTGAAAGCGCGCGAGGGAACGCCGGAACCTTTGGCCGCGGAGACGAAAAAGAAGCCGAAGCGTCGCGCGGCGCAACGCAAGGCTGGGACGAAGACGGTTATTTGACGACGCGATCGCGTCGCGCGGGCGTAGACGTGATTGTTATTAGAGACATAGATTGTTCAGATTCTTTGACAGCGACTAGGTAATTATAAAGCTAATGTGAGGCGACGAATTCGGCTCTGCGGCGCGCGCCGCAAATCTAACCGATGAGCATTTTGTCGCCGTCCAAAAACTTGTATTCAGGAATCTCGAGGTTCTCCGGCGCCGGTCCCTTACGAATGCGACCACTTGCGTCGTAATGACTGCCGTGGCACGGGCAAAACCAACCGTTGTAATCACCCGCGTTTGCGATCGGGACGCAACCGAGGTGCGTGCACACGCCGACGGCTACGAGCCACTCTTGATTGGGCGCGCGCTCGGAGTCGGCTTGCGGATCGCGCAGCGAAGCGACGTCCACGGATTCCTCTTTCGCGATTTCAGCCGGTGTGCGTCGTCGGATGAACACCGGTTTCCCTCTCCACTTCACCGTCACGGTGCTCCCGAGCTCAACCTTGCTCAAGTCAACTTCGAGCGAGGCGAGCGCGAGAACGTCGGCGGTCGCGCTCATCGAGAGCAAAAACTTCAACACCGCCAACCGCAACGCGCTGGCGTAAATCATGCGACCGCCCGTCATGACGAAGTACGTGAACGCGCGCTTATCCGGGTCCCCCGCTCGCGCCACGGTGTGATTCGACACGTCGTAGTCGATCGTGTGCGCCGGCGTCTTCACCGCCCGCGCGATCGATCCCGAGTTCACCGCAGTCGTGGCGTAACCTGTCGTGGTCCGCGATGCGCGCGCGCGTCCGTCAGTCTGCGTTCGCGGCGTTCGCCGATCGCTCGATCGAGTCGATCTTACAGGCGTGGAGACGTTCGCGATCGAATCAACGCGCTCGCGTGCAACGCGACGCGCCGGCGCGAGACGTCCGCGCCCGCGAACGAGCGATACGAATTTCGCGCACCTCTTTCCCGCGAATCGATCGCGCTCGACGCGAACGACGCGGACGCGTGCGCCCTGTCGATCGTCGCGCGCGCGGCGAACCCCCGGCTCGTCGCCGGTCGGAACAACGGCGTCGTCGCGCTCGTCGTCGCGCTCGACGCGATCGAGGACGACGCGGCGCTGAGCTTGGAAATAGCCCGCGCGAGGCGCGCGCGCGCGCGATGCGTCGCACCGCTCGACGACATCGTGCGTCGGTCGCGATGTGACGATCGAACGCGCGCGCGGCGCGCGCGGCGACGGCGTCGTATGGGTAAACAGTTAGAAATCGTAAACCCTAGGTCATCCTCAAACAAAATCGTGCCGCGCTGAAATTTCGCGCGACACCGACAGACGGCTGGTTCGGCGACGGGCGCGCGATGCGGCCGCACTCGGCGTCGCGACGCCTCGCGCGTGTCGATCGACGACGATGACGACGACAAAGTACGAACGCGAAGTGGTTTGGGTCAAGGTGCGACGACAGCGCGCGCTCGCACGACCGCGCGCGAGTGAAAACGGTGATTTCCACGAGTTCAAAAATCAACGACGGGCGAGACCGACGTTGAATCGGTGCTGAATCGATGCGACGCGTAGAGGCGAAAGACTGACCGAGGGACGACGACCGACTCTCGACGCGTCGGCGCAGTACGGGAAAGGGGAGCGGTTTTGGCCCGCGCACGTGGTGGGACGAGACGCGGCGCGCGCGCGCGTGCCGGGCGCGGCGGCGGTCTTTGAAAAGCATCCAGGCGCGCGCGCGTTTCAGTACTTTGGCTACGGCGGGTATTACCAGCTCGAGAAACCGAACGCGCCGGCTGCGATAGCGTGGGCGGAAGGGTTAGCGCGACGGTTGGATGAAAAAGGGGTGGCCAAGGCGCACAAGACGGCTGTGACAAACGCGCGGGCGTACGTAGAGCGAGGCGATTTGACGAGCGAAGTCGCGGCGGGCGCGCTTTGGTGGAGCATGCCGCTTCCAGCACCGCGCGAAGAGCCGGCGAAGAGAACTCACGATTCGGCGGGGACGTTGTCTGAGAAGAATAAGAAGCCGCGACGCGGCGACGCGGCCAAAGATACATTCGACGAGCGTGAGGAAGTCAAAGACGCCGGCGCCGACGAGTTTGAGTTTCCTCGCATGTCCAAAACGTTCGTCGGCGGCGAACGCAAGGAATACACGCCCACGTTGAGCGTGCTTTCGCTCGGAAAACCACCTCCTTTTGAGCGCATCCATCGCAGCGTTTTCGTCAGCAGACCGCCGCCGGTGAAACTGCACAAGTCTGAAACCGCGGTGTGCGACTGCCATCCGCCGCCGTCGCGCGGCGACAGCGAGACGATTCGCGACGGATGCGGGCAAGAGTGCTTGAATAGAAAATTGCGATTTAGTTGCGACAGCCGAACGTGTCCGTGTGGGGACGCGTGCAGTAATCGCCCGTTGAGTCAGTTACCGGCGCCAAAGACGAAGATTATTCGCACAGAAAACAGAGGTTGGGGATTGACTTTGCAAGAGCCCGTGCGCGCGGGAACCTTCATCGTTGAGTACGCGGGTGAGATTTTAGACGAGCACGAATGCGCCGAACGGCTTTGGTACGACAAGCAGTCGGGGGAAGAGAACTTTTACTTGATGGAAATATCCGCAAACTACGTCATCGACGCCAAGTTTAAGGGCTCGATCGCGAGATTTATCAATAGCAGCTGTCACCCAAACTGCGAAACGCAGCGGTGGGTCGACGCTTCGACGAACGAGACGAGAGTCGGTATCTTTGCCACCGAAGACATCGCGAGTGGGACCGAGCTGACGTACGATTACAACTTTGCGCACTTTGGCGATGAAAAGGGGACGTCGTTCGTGTGCATGTGTGGGCATCCCAAGTGTCGAGGCACGCTCGACGCGGCGAAGACGTCGAAAAAGAATTTGCATCGCCGACTTCGCGTGGAAATCATGGTGAATGGGAAAGTCGTTAAGTCGCGCAAGAAGAAACAAAAAGTCAAGGCCACTGTGGTGGACTATGATGCCGCGAAGAATAGATACAAAGTACAAGTCGAAGGTGACGAGAAGGAAACCTTCGCGTGGGTGCGTCTCGATGGCGAAGGCGCAGCGAAACACTCGTGGCTGAGCAAATAGGCATCGCCGAAGCACACCGTAGCTTTTTATGTGATACGTAAGTAGTACGTGCGCGGGGATCGTTTTCTACGTTCTAATCTACGTGGCTATCGTTATCCGTCAGCGTGACGGCGTCAAACAATTCCCAAAACGCTTTAGCGTCGCTCTCCGCTGCGCCGGCACCAATGAGCAAATCGATAGTCGCATTTCGGTCGGTTTCAGTCGCTCTGAATATTTCCGCAACCTGTCTCGCGCGCTCGATGTCGGGGAAAAATATTTCGCCGAGACGCGCGTTCACCCACTCCGTCTTTGTCGGCATTGGCAAAGCAGCCTCGCTCGTCGTCTCTTCCTGCGACATGCGAACGACGAGGGCGACGATTTCTTCCTCCGTCATGTCGCCGAAGAGCTCATCGCACTCGATGTGCATGGCCCGCGCCGAGTTGTGCTCGCGCGATTGCTTTTTAAACTCGAGCTTCGATAAGCGTATCGCCTCGGCGATTTGCTCATCTTCTGCGTTGTCGTTTGTCTCCGGCTGTAGTTGTGGCCAACGCTCGATGTCAGCGCGAAAGTCGTCCTCGTGATTCCGACTTTGCGCTACGTGGACTTGCGGCTCAAATGCGACGCGCGTCTGCGTTCGATCCTCTCCGCCAAATGTAAACTTTCCGCTCGCCGTGCGCCTGAAACCAACGTCGAAGTCTCGGCGCCTGCGCGCCGGCACAATGTCGTCATCGGACTCGGACGATGGAACACGTGCGAGCCTCGACACCGACGTCGAAGCACCGTGCTTCCGAGCATTCGTGTAAGAACCTCCAGTTGGTCTTCGCGCGGGCTTCGCCGTCCTCATCGACGGCGGTGGACTACTTACGCCGGCGGGCTTTGACGAAACGCGCGCCGGCGCAAACCCACGATCGTGCTGCAAGTATTCAGCAAACGGATCAATGTCGACAACCGCGGAAGACGTTTTGGGCCCACTCGACACACGTGCGACGCTTTCTTTCCTCTTCGCGGCCTCGCGCTGTCGTTCGAGCCGCGATTGACGAAACTCGCTTGGCATAGCTAACATGCCAAGCGTCCGAAGCGCATCCTCCGTCGAAGCGCATTGCGCCGCGCGGTCGAAGTCGCTCATCGCGTTCGTGTCCGTCGCACTGGATTGCAGAATCGAGTCTGCATCGAACGACATCACCACATCGTCATTAAGCCTTCGATGTCTGTGATACATGTCGTACATTCTCGAAACGTCGCCGTCCCAGTACGGCCACCTGCTCAAGAGCAAGCGGTATCCGTCGATGGACTGTTTAGCGCTCTCATGCGCGCCTCGCTTCGTTATGACGATCGGTTCGGCACGCCCCGCAGCACCACTCACACCTTTCCCACTCCCCGTCGCACCGTGTCGCGGCTTTGTCCTCGGCTCTCTCGTCGGCGCGCTCGCGCTCGCTCTCGAGACGGGAACGCTCGTCTCGGCACCGCGCACGCCGCGTACGCACCGCGGGTCGAACGACTTCAGTACTTTCACGATGCGATCGAAAGATTCGTCGAACGCGATGACGACGGATTTCTTATCATCGCACACGCTTCCACCACATCCGAGCGCGCGCGTGAGCGTCGACAACAGCAGCGAAACATCGCCCGAGCAGTTGTCAATTCTCGTGTGCGTCTTGCCGTATTTCGTCTTCACGCGCGCGAACGGCACCGAACCTTTCTTCGTGCCGCACACCACGAACGGTACCAGCGGTGGCGACATCGCTCGCGTCGCGCGACGTCGGTGTTGATTCACGTCGTCGCCGTCATCGCGAGTGGCGAAAAGTGAAGACTCTCTGACCCCGAAAGGCCGAGCGCCATTCCACGACGACGACGTCGCGTGAGCGCCGCGCGTGTGTCGCACATCGCTCCGTCGCGTCGTGGTTTCGTCCGTACGCTCCTTCGTCGCGACTAGGTCCCGTCCGATGTCGTCGACAGCGACGGCGGTGCGCAAGATGATGCGAAGCGCCGCCGCGACTGTGCTCACGCGACACGCGACGACGCAGACGTTGGTTCGAGACTGCGTCTACGCGCGATCGTGGAGACGGCGCGCGTCGACGACATCATCGTCGACGCGAAACGTGGCAATCATCGCCCACGTCGACCATGGAAAGACAACTTTGTTGGACCAGCTCATTCGCTCGACGTCCGAGGCGAGAGTGGAGGAGCGCGCCATGGACAACATGCAGCTCGAAAAGGAGCGAGGAATCACGATAGCCGCCAAGTATACCGCCGTGTCGTACAAAAACGCGACACTTCATATCGTCGATACCCCAGGTCACGCCGATTTCGGCGGTGAAGTCGAGCGTGCGCTCGAGCTCGTGGACGGCGCGCTTCTAGTCGTCGACCCGTTCGAAGGCGTCATGACGCAGACGAAATTCGTCGTCCGTAAAGCGTTACAGAAGGGACTGAAACCGCTCGTCGTGCTGAACAAGGTCGATCGCGATGGTGTCACGCGAGCGTTGTGCGATGCGGTGGAGTCTGACCTCTTTGATTTATTCGCGGCGATGGGTGCTGACGATGCGCAGTTGGATTTCACCGTCGTCTACGCGAGCGCGCGTGCGGGCGTCGCGAGCACGTCGCTTGAAGAAGCACAAAAACAAATAGTCGAAGGGAACGGGTCGGTGGACGCTATATTACAGGGGGTTCTCGATCACGTTCCTGCACCGCGCGGCTGTACTCAACAGCCGTTCGCCTTGCTGGTATCGATGATTGAACGCGATCCGTTCTTCGGGCGGCTCGTCACCGGACGAGTCTTCGATGGCGCGCTCGGTATCGGAGACACGCTCAAGGTTCTCACGCTTGGGGATGGCGTCGTTCGCGAAACAGTCCGCGTACAAAAGATTTTTACATCCAGGAATTTAGAACGCGTCGCCGTGAAGGAAGCCAAGGCTGGAGACATCGTGACGATTGCCGCTGGTTTTGGCGACGCGACGGTGGCGGATACGCTTTGCTCGCCAGAGAGGCGCGAGCCGTTGCCGTCGACGCCCGTTGATCCACCCACGCTGAGTATGACATTTGGTGTAAACACGTCGAGTTTGGCCGGTAAGGAAGGGAATCAACTGACGGAACGACAAATTGAAGAGCGACTCCGCGCCGAGGCGGACACCGATGTTTCGCTGCGAGTCAGCGATTCATCCGATGAGGACGGGATCCCGGGACTGCAAGTCAGCGGGCGCGGCGAACTGCATCTTGGCATCATCATTGAAAAACTACGACGAGAAGGTTTTGAGCTTTCCGTTTCGCCGCCTCGCGTCATCCAAGGCATTGATGATGAAGGCCGTCGAACTGAACCCTTCGAAAGCGTGTTGCTGGAGTGCGACGCGAACGACTGCGGTGGCGTCATAGACGCCGTGACACAGCGAAAAGGAGATCTTCTCGATATGGATACGAACGCTGGCGAAGACGGCCGCACGCGCTTGACGTTTTACGTGCCGAGTCGAGGTCTCATAGGCTTTCGACAAGAGTTCATCAACGCGACGCGCGGCAATGGAGTCATGCAACGAGCGTTCGACTCGTACGGACCCTCACGAGGCGCAATTGGCAAGGCAAAAAAGGGCAAACTGATTAGCACGACATCAGGGGTGACGACGACGTACTCGCTCGGCGCGCTCGAGCCTCGCGGTACGCTCTTCGTCGGCCCCGCGTCTGAAGTGTACGCCGGGATGATCATCGGCGAGCACACTCGCGAGAACGATCTCGAGGTCAACCCGACGAAGGAGAAGAAATTAACAAATATGCGTGCGAGCGGCAACGACGAAACGATTCGATTGACGCCACCGAAGGTAATAGATCTCGAGAGCGCTATCGGATACGTAGGTACAGATGAACTCATAGAAGTGACACCGAAAGCGATTCGCTTGCGCAAAGCGGAGCTCGCGTCGTCCATGCGACGGCGCGCGTCGCGACAGGCGGACTCTTAGACACGTAGTAACGATAGAATTCGACGTATTGTTTTTCGGCCGCGCGTTGGATCCAATCCAACGCGTCGAACACGCGCATCGTCTCCGAGGCGCCCGCGTCGTCCGCGGCCGCGAAGTGAAAAAAGCGAAGTGCCACTTCGCGACGCGATGGCGTGTTCGCACGCCGCCGCGCGCCTCGCGTGTGCGGTACACAGCGCGCGCGCGATGACGACCGCGCGACCGGCGGCGCGCGCGACGATGCGCGACGCCGTCCGCGTCCTCGCGTCGCGCGCCCTCGCGTCGCGCGCGCGCGCGGGGGCGTCGTCGCGCACCGCCGCCGCCGCGTCGTCGAATGGGCGCGCGAACGATGGGTCGTTGGGGCGCGAACGCGCGGCGGATCTCGCGCGGGCGAACGAGGAAGAGGCGTACGACGACGATCCTTTGGTACACATGGGACGAATTAATAAGTCGGCGCTGAAGCGATTAGGTGCGAGCTCTCGAGAGACGCAGACGAGACCGCGCTCGAGGGGCGCGAGACGCAGACGAGACGCGCGACTGACGATGGCGCGTGACGACGATCGATATCGCGACGACAGCGCACGAAAAGAAAACAATGGCGAAAACCTTGCTGGCGCTGCCGAAATCGCAAATCGCGACGATGGAAGAGTTGAACGCCGAAGTCAAGGCGCTCGTGGCGGAGGGCAAAAAGTTGAAGGGAAATCACGGCGCGGCGAAGCGGCACGAGGGTGCTTTAGCGGGTGCTTTACGAAGAATGACGGAGAGCGAGATGGATGCGCTCGTGTCTAAAGTGACGGCGATCGAGAACGGCACGACGGGGGCGATCGATTCTAACGTGGACGCCCTCGCGATGAGTTGGCGAGCGCGTCTGTTGTCGGGAACCGAAGCGACGACGGCTTCGTCCGACGACGCCACGGCGTGTCTCGGGGAGATTTTCGATGCCCTGGCGACAGCGGAGGCAAACGAAACGTCCGCGCCCTTGAGTTTCACGCGCCAGGAATTAAAAGTCGCCCTTGACGCGGCGACAAAAGAATCGCGCGCTCGCGCGCTCGCCATCGCCGAATTCAACGCCTCCATCGACAAAGAGATGGAAGTGTTGGCGTACGGCGAAACGAACGAAGAAGTCTTGCGAGAGACTCGTGCGTTTATCGCACAAAAGCTAAAGAGCGGTGGTGGCGCGAGCGCGACGCCCTCGCGCTCGCCTCCTCGCGCAAAGTCTTCCAAGCGTTTGCTCGGCATGCTTCGAGACGTCGCCGCCGTCGTCGTCGCCGCCTAATCTGCGTCGTCCGAGCGCGCATCATCCCGCGCGCGTCGACGCGATCGATGTCCACGCTATCACCATTAGTTGTATCATCATATTTTCCCATCCTACTCGTGCGGACATCGCGCGATTCCGTAGCGCTTCCGAATCGCTCTCCTCGCGCCGCCGCGACGTTCGGACGCGCCGCCCGCGCCAGATCGTCACTCCGCGACGCACCTCGATCGCGCGTCCGCGCCCGCACGACCACGCGCGATGATGCAACAGGGCGGTCAAGGGCAACAAATCATGGTGATGAACACCAACGCCAAGCGCGAGACGGGTTCGATCGCGCGCGCGAACAACATCGCGGCGGCCAAGGCGGTGAGCGACATCATCCGCACGACGCTCGGGCCGAGGTCGATGTTGAAGATGATTTTAGACGCTTCGGGAGGTACGACGACGACGACGACGACGACGACGACGACGACGCATATCGCGTCTTCGCGCGAGTCCACGCGTCTCGCGCGCGGCGCGCGCGCGATCGATGAAACGCGGAGCGACAGAGTCAACGCGGCGAAAAGTCAACGCGAGCGAACGAACGAACGAACGCGGTTCGACGGTGACGGGACGCACGAACGCGGCTGAACGAGGACGCGAGCGTTGACGCGAGCGTGATCAGCGCTCGCTGATGGTCGAACGTCCGAGCGCGATGGCGATCGGCGTCGGATGGTGATTGGATGTTTTGGACGGGTGACTGACCTCGCGCGCGTTTTGCTCAAACGCAGGCATCGTGTTGACGAATGACGGGAATGCGATTTTGAGAGAGATCGACGTCACGCATCCGGCGGCGAAGAGTATGATTGAACTGTCGCGCACGCAAGACGAAGAAACCGGGGACGGGACGACGTCGGTGATTATTCTGGCTGGTGAAATCCTTCATCTGTCGCAACAGTTTTTGGAAAAGAACATTCACCCGACAGTCATCGTGAGGGCGTACATGAAGGCGTTGGACGCCGCATTGAAAGTGATTGATTCAATTAGTTTTCCCATCGATGTCACGAATCGTGATGAGATGATGAAGATCGTCAAGAGCTCTGTCGGCACCAAGTTTACCGCGCGCATGGGCGAACTCATTCCAAACTTGGCGCTCGACGCGGTCATGTGCGTGGCTCGCAAAAACGCCGACGGCACGAACGACATAGACATTAAAAAGTACGCCAAGGTGGAGAAGATTGCGGGTGGTTCTATCGATGACTGCACGGTGCTACGAGGAGTGATGATGAACAAAGACGTCGTCGCGCCTGGACGAATGAAGCGACGAATTGAAAACCCGAGAATCATGCTTCTCGACTGCCCATTGGAGTACAAAAAGGGCGAGAACCAAACCAATGTGGAAATCACCAAGGAAGAAGATTGGGCGGTGTTGCTGAAGATGGAGGAGGATTGGATCAAAGAGACGTGCGCGAAGATCGCGGCTTTCAAGCCCGATGTCGTCGTCACCGAAAAGGGATGCAGTGATTTGGCTTGCCACTACCTTTCCAAGGCGGGCATCACCGCATTGCGACGCGTCCGCAAGACCGATAATAATCGCATCGCGCGAGCCGCGGGGGCCACCGTCGTTTCTCGCGTGGATGAGCTTCGTGAATCAGACATCGGCACCGGTGCTGGTTTGTTCAACGTCGAGAAAATCGGTGACGAATATTTCACCTTCGTCGTCGACTGCAAAGAGCCCAAGGCGTGCACCGTCGTCCTTCGCGGCGCGAGCAAGGATATTTTGAATGAAATTGAACGCAACTTGATTGACGCGATGGGCGTAGCGAGGAATGTCGTCCAAGACCCGCGACTGTTGCCCGGTGGCGGTGCGGTCGAAATGGCTGTCTCTCGCGCGATCGCGGAAGAAGCGACGAAGATCGAGGGTGTGGAGCAATGGCCGTTCCGCGCCATCGGCGCGGCACTCGAGGTCATTCCGCGAACGCTCGCGCAAAACTGCGGCGCCAACGTCATTCGCACTCTCACCAAACTTCGCGCCAAACACGCCGAGGGCGAAGAAGCGCGAACGTTCGGTATTGATGGCGATAAGGGCACGATCGTAGACATGAAAGAGCTCGGTGTGTGGGATCCGTACGCGGTCAAGGTGCAATCCATCAAAACCGCCGTCGAGAGCGCCACGATGCTATTGCGCATTGATGACATCGTCTCCGGGCTTTCCCAAAAGAACTCCGACGCGGCGGGCACGGGCACGGGCGTCAGCGCGGGCGACGACGACTAATCGTCGAGCGTAGTACACTGCGGCGGATAGCGCTAATCGAATACATACATAGACTTTTGCCACTCATTCGCAAGCCTCGCTGTGCAAAGCCTTCGCGGCGAATGCGTTTTGAACGTGATTCAATCGCGCGCGTCTCGCACTGACCGTCGCGTTTCGTCGTCGTCATCGTTCGTCATGGACGCTCGCGCGATGGCGCGCAAAACGCTCGATCGCGCGCGCGCGGCCGGCACTCTCATCGCGTGCGCGCCGCGCGTGGTGTCGCCGAAAACGTGCGATTTAATCGAGTCAACTTTTCCCGCGTCTTCGCACGACCGCGCCGAGCTGCTGTCGCGCCTGATCGCTCTGGGTCTGCTGCAGTACGCCCAACACATGGCGAGCTACCGCGCGTGGCGACACAGCGCGCGAGCGTGGGGGGAGATCGCACGAGGTGACGCGAAGGGGACGTTTTGGGCGATCGCTCGCGCCTTTGGCACTTTCGCGCTCGTGGCGGAACCGTTGCGGTTGTCGCGTCGTACGTACAGGGCACTGTTGCGACGAGAGCTGGCGACGCGGTTCGGGGGCGACGTAGTGAACGCCATGCTCACCGACGAGGCGCTGGCGAGCGCGAAAGATGAGCCGATCGAGAGCGCACGCGAGGCGGCGGCTTCGGCGGCGGTTGGAGCGCCGGCGTTTGCGCGCGCGGCGCTCGATGCTGCGGCAGATGGGATCGAGGCGTGCGTGGCGATGGTATATCACGCGCAGTGTCTGTTTCAAAGCTCGTTCTGGAGCGCGCCAGTCTTGATTGGGAGCGCGTTGATCGGGCAAGTTGCGCAGAATGCGCGGACCTTTGACGGATATGAGGCGAAGAAGGAGGCGCATCGAGCGGAAACCGCGACGGCCCGACTTCGAGAACTGCTGGCGCACGCAAGGACAGATGGCGAAGCGATCGCACTTGCGAACGGGGCGATCACCGAAGCAGAAGAAGCGATGGCCACATTGGAAGCGGGGCAAGAGTTTGTGTATAGACGGGAAGTTTTGAACGCTCGAGCGAGTTTCCCGTCCGACGTGTACGATGCTGCGGCTAACTTGTTGCCCGTGGCGACCGTGCTTCCGCGTCTCGTACGAGGAGTCTCGGTGAACGCATGGGATATTCAAGTCGCGATGTCATCTTTTAACGGCATTCGCGCCGCACTCGCCGTGCTCGTACAGAACATGTCTACTCTGCGAACGGCGGAGCTGCACGCGGGGCACGTTTCCAATTTGTACGACGCCCTCGACGTATCCACAGTGCGTGGGCTCGCGGGTGACAACGAAAGCGGCGGCGCAAGCGTGCGTGTCGACACTCCGGAAGATGACATGTCGCTCGTCGAAGTGGATTCGTTGAGTTTGCGCGGATACGATGGGCAAGAAATCATTCGAGGGCTCGACTTCGTGTTGTGTCGCGGCGACTCGCTTGCCGTCGTCGGTCCTGCAGGGTGCGGTAAGACAATGCTCGTGAAAGCACTTGTGGGTCTATGGAGCTATGGTTCAGGTAGTGCGCGAGTCATTCATCGATCTCGCGTGTGTGTGCTATCGAGGAAACCTTACTTCCCCAAAGGTTCTCTCCTCGATGTGTGCTTGTATCCGACATCCTCTGCGGATATTGGAACCGACACTCGTGAACTGCTCACTGACGCCATGGTAGCCCTCGGGCTCGGAAGACACATCGATTACTTGGACGCGATTGCGCCTTGGGGCGACAATCTTAGTCCAAGTGAGCAGCAGCGCTTTGCGGTTTGTCGAGCAGTCGTGAATAGAGTCGACTTATGCGTGCTCGATGACGCCACTTGTGCGATGGATCCAAAAGATAGAGCCGCATCGTATGACGTTCTCAAGAAACATGTAAGCGGTATTTTGAGCCTCGGTGACGAAGTGTCGCTGCCGAAGCATCACTCTAGGACACTTCGCGTTCGTTCTGACGGGACGTTGGGCGATTTTGAGGAGATGGCATCGCCGGTAACGTCATCTCGCATCAACGTTAGAGATGTGGCTCGAGAAGCCATAGGAGAACCCCTCGTCGATGTCGCCTCCGAAGAAAGCGATTCGAGCGCTTCAGGTTTCAATCCGCTTCAGATGGAGGCAAACCGCAGAGAGAACCAGTTTATTCGTCGACAGAAGAAAAATGTCGCTCGTGCGCTCGGCGTGAATCCCCAAAAATTCGGTGTGGTTCCGACTCCTACCAAATCGACGAAAGGAAAGCCCCTCGCGTTCGACCCACTCGCGTAGAGAGTTGAAATTCCATGTTTAGTGTTGTTACATTCTATGTTAATCGCTAATCTAAATGAAGCCAAAGCCTTCACAACCTTCAACAATCGCGTACAGCAGCCTGTCGCGTAAGATTTGCTTTGAGCTGTATTCGTGCAAATCGAGTTGATTGAAGCACGTGTGTGCGGATGGCAACTTTGAATCATCCGCGTGCTGCCGATGGATTTGAAAACGTTGCGGGCCTTGCATGCCTTGCAAAGCACCGAATCCATCCAAAGGAACCTTAGAGGTACCGGTACAAAACATCAATAAGCGCGCCAAGTCTTCCTTGTTCATTTCCCTCACGACGTCCCAAAACCATTGAATTTGTTTTGACCCGACGGTGAAGCCGGTGTATTCAGTATTGGCGCGTAAATCCTCGACGTCGATGTCCGGGGTACCACTTATGAGCAGTTCCAATTCAGACGCATTCAGGATGGAAATCGTTTCTCTAGGGACAACTTCTTCAAACCCCTTCACGAGAGCAGCGAGTTGGTCCTTCACCGCATTCGTCATTCGGTGCGCGGTTATCAGGTTGACGTATTCAAACTTGTTTGCATCTGTCACTGCGATATTTCGTCCGTTTTCGGTCAAATCGTGAACTTGAGTTTCACCAAAATAAGACGTTGTGTCGCTGAATGTGTATTCCATGACACCCTCCACAGAGTTCTCCAGCATCCATTTCAAGCTCTTGTAATAATCTGGATCTACACCTTCCATGTCTTCGTATGTGAGCTGCTGACCGAGAAGGTGCTTGTAAATCGGACGCGTGAAGTATGCGTTGAGGAGAATGTCGTCGAACAAAGCCTTACCGACGAGTCTACCGACGAATCTAAAATAGCTGAGATAATCCGGATGGACCACACTGTTTTGATTCGGCTGATAGCATCCCTTGTCGTGAGACAACTCGAAGAGAGCGATGTTTGGATTGAAAACTTCTCGTGCCAAGATGGTGAACCACTCCTTTATCAAACCGCCACCGTCCATGCCTTCTTCGCCCACGAAAACGATGCTGATTTTGCCTCGAATTTCTTCGATACTCCGGCTGTTGAGTTGTCTAAACGAGTCTTCGAGTATTCGATCACGCCTAATGTGTAACGTTCGCGCCTCTGGACGATTATGTCCTAGGCGTTCGCGAAGTTTCTTGATTCGTGTCCGAATCTCCGCACGTTTGACGGAGAAGTCCAGCAAGCGTGGATTGCTCAACAGGATTTTCATGGGTCCGGAAAGCAACAGCGGGCGTTGCTTCAGCATGTCGTTGAGCATGTTTCTGTGTTGCTCGACAAACGCCCAAATGTCGCTCAATATGGCGGCGACTTTCGCATTTTTCCCTCCAGAATTTGAAAGTGCGTCGAGCATGTGACTCGACGTACGATGCAAAGACCCATGCGATGCATGCGACGCTCGCATACCCATCGCAGGCGAGGGTGCTCTCATCGAACCAGCGAGAGCAGGGAGCTGAAACGCACCGGATTCTCGTCTGCTCTTCGAAACTTCACCTTCGACGTATGGATAGAGGCTCGTTCCAATCATCAAGTACGTCGTTATACCCTCAGTCAGCGCGGCGCTAGCGTGCGAGCGTTCGCACAGGATCGATGCATCACCGCTTTCATCGCTAGTAATGTCTTGCATGAGACTTGCATAGACGTTCATCATCTGCCAAAACGGACGGAGCGCATCATGATATCGTATCAACTCTTCCTTCGCTTTATCCTTGAAAGCTTTTTGGAAACGGCTGTCTTTTCCATCCAAGTACGTCAGAACCTGAAGAAAACAATCCGTCAGGCGACGCAAATAAGGAATATGCGTTTTCAGGGATTGACGCGAGTCGGCGTACTCAACGTGTCGTGCGGATGGTTCATCGACATTTGGTCTGTACTTGATCGACGACGCCTTCGACAAGCACGCGATGGCTTCAACCGAGCACTGCAGGGCATCGGCATGGAATCGATTCAGTATGACTGCGTCGCATCCCTCTTCAAAGAAGTCGCCTAAAACTTTTTGTAGTATAGTGTTGATTTTCTCGTACGCACTCGGGGCGAGATATGGAACCTTGAGAAAGCTTGCTATACTCGCCAAAAGTTCAGGGGTGGCGGCGGTTGACAAGCCTTTGGGCCCGATGTTGGGTTTGGGCGTAGCCGCAAGAAACTTTGTGAGGTAAGCGTCAGTGCACGTCGCGCACAGCTCAATATTCTTTTGGTCATGAAATTGCGATGCGTGTGCGAGAAGTCCGACCAGGAAAGAAAGGAGTGGTATATCCACGGTGCTCACGCCAGCGTCAGATCGCAACACAGCTTCGCCATTCTCCTTCTGATTTGTGAGAAAGTTTACCATACTTGCGTCCTCATCCTTCGCAAAGAAAAGTTTCACGCACGTCAAATTAACGCCACGAACGCGATATGTCCCATGTACGTGCCTGTTTCGACTAATGAGTTGCGACAGAAGCGTCAAAAGTCGTCTCGTCACCATCTCCTTGCGTGCTCCGTTACGCTCGCTCAGATTCGCGCACAGCGAGCGCGCCATGGCTACTTCCATCGCCGCGCTTGGCTCAAGACCCTTGGCGTTAGGAGAACTCAAAGTGGACTCGATGAAACGAGGATCAGCACGATCCATCGTGTTCATGATCACAGTTTCGATAATCTGGCGCAAAATTGACTCGCGGTTTTGGTCCACCACGCACAAGTTTACACATATTTTGTTCACAGTATCCTTTAAGTCGATAGTCTGAACAAAGAACAAAAGCAACAACGTTCGAATATGCTGATGGCGCAATTCGACGTTCACTTTTAACGGCTTGAAATCTTCTGGAGCGACTGCGTCGCGCGTTGACGACTGACGGATTCGCTCGATGTCATTCCATGACATTTGCTCGTGACGGTCTAGACGGCCATCCCAGCCTTCACCAAACATCATATTTCCAATCTCCAACGGCGCAGTGTCTATCACTGTAGTTGTTGGGCTATTTGCACGAGGCCGAGGCGCGGATACCGAAGGACTGGCTTCGGTATGCTGAATCCTCGTCAACAATCTGTTTGCTCCGGAGGTAGTGCGTTGTATCAACTCGCGCTGAATATCGGCTGGCATGGCGCTAAGAAACTCAGCGCCGATCAAGTTGAGGTCGCTAGCAGCTTCCGGTGCTTGCTCGCGCGCACGGGCAACTAGTCTATTCGCATTCAAAAATCCATCTCGTAAATCTTCTGTAACCATGGAGAGCTCATTTGCGCTTATGTCCAGTGCCGCCGCTTCTCGGCGTTGTCGCGCTGTCCGCTCTTCGGGCGATTCGTCCACGATTTCTGCCAGATTTCCGTTGACGTTTTCCTTGTCTCGCTCACTGGAAACCAATGACGATGTCGCGAGTTCCGCGGTGTCCAAATGGGACAAAAAAGTACCAGAAGTCGCCAAAGACTCGCCGATACTCATGCACACTGCGTTTGACCAGAAACTTGCTCGGGCATTCCTTCCATCAAGGCTCCAAATTGTTTGATTCCGAACGCTGAATTCAGCCGGTGCTGTTGCCTGAAAGGATCCATCCCCGAGCCACAGGATTGCTTTTGCCGACGATAAAGGATCCAAAATTTCTAAATGCGATGGACGAACGGCCAAGCGAGCCATTTCCCCGCTGATAGAATTGAGCACGTCGTGCAACGAGCGAGATCTCGAACTAAAATCCATGGGTGTCGAGAGAGTGATATTTAAACTCGTGCCGACTCTTTGCACGTTAATGCCTTCGTGGTTCAACGCAGGCGGAACGCCCGTTTCGGATTGCGACCACGTGTGCCAGGGACTGCCATGCACCGGAGGATTTCCTCTCGCAAGAAGTGAAGGGTCACCCAGGGTCGCGCGTGCAATTCTTTGTGTTTGTTCACGAAGAGACGAAGTAAAAGGCACATCTCTACGATTGAAGAGTTCGGAAGCATTCACAGAAGAAGAACGAGGAGAGTGCTCGCGATTATGTCCCCGTAGTTGTCCCTCAGAACGAGATTCGCTGAGTGTCTGCTGTCTTTCGTCCTCTGTGGAAACTTGTGCTCGTTGCCCTCCTGCAATCTGCAGTTCGCCAACTGTCTGTGCCTCGACTCTCGGATCGGCACCTGACATGACGCTAGAGTAATCTGTGGCGAACCATGCTTCAACCTGGGCTCTCGAGACAGAAATGTGATCCCTCGAACCAAGATTGGATGTGCGTTCAACATGACTGCCTGAATGTGTAGCGCGAGGCAGCACGCGTACCCCAGACGGCGACGTATATGATGACTGTGGCGAGCTAGGTTCTTCAAAATCGCCTTCCTCTTCATCGTCGTCATCGTCATCATCGGAACCACCGCCATCATCATAATCGAACTCCTCACCATCTTCGTCATACAAAGCATCGTCAGACATTTCCAAGACATCGTTTCCAGGATCAGGATCGATGTGATCCATGTCGCTTCCGTAAAAGTCATCTGCCATGGCTTCTTCGCCTTCTTCATCATCTTCTTCTTCTTCCTCTTCAGAGTCCTCTTCGCTTGAGTCGCTCGTTCCACTTGATTCACCTGATTCGCCCGATTCGCTCAATTGTTCTTCGTCTGAGGATTCGTGCATTCCTTCTTCGTTGGCTTCATCGGAATCGTGGTCGTGGTCGTCGTCAACCTCCATCTCAGAATCATCGTCCGAGTTCTCGTGACCATCATTTGCATCGATGCCGTCGGCATCGCCATCGTCTCCTCCGAATACAGGATGAACACCTTCGATTTCTGGCATTCCGTCGAGGTCATCTTCGAGTCGAGCGACTTGAATGTTTCCTCCTGCAGCGTGTTCAAGCAAATTCTGGAGCATCTGCTCGGTTAGTGCGCGTCTCTCTTCAACTTCCTCACCGCTGGGTACCCGTGCAGCGTTTACCGCACGAACCATGTTACCGATGCGAGTAAGCCTGCTTTCGCGTTTGCTCTTAGTAGATCGAACAACTAGAGCTTCGAGTACTGCGAGCGTTACTCGAAGAAATCCTGGATTGCCACGTTTTTCGCGCGCAGCGCCAACGACGTTTGTCTCTTCAATGAGTTCAATGATCCGCTCTGGGACTTTTAGACTGTACATCGTCTTAAGAACTCCTTGTTGGAGATTAAAGACTACCCGATTGCGAATGCGTTCACCGCTCTGATAGCCACGCGCCAAACCGTAATCCATAAGAGAGTGCAATAAATCCACAAATGCGTGCTTTGGAACTAGAGAATCACCTTTATCGGCGCAAGTTGAAGCTGTTTCTTGCGTTAAGTCCGGCTCCTTCAGAAGCACAAGCATTTTCTCAATTATTTTCGTTCGCGCTTTTTGGCTGTTGACGCATAAAGTTGCGAGGAAGAACGCCGCGTTTTCGCACCCGCACCAAACTCCCGTCTGTTCACTTGAGGAACTTCTTCTGCTCGACGGCAGTTGATAACGAAGAATGTTGCGGAAAATGTCAGTCTGGTCGTCCATATCCATCAAAGCCTTCACACTTGATGGATATACCTCAACCAATTCGGTGAGCAGACGGAAAGCTGCGGCTTGTCGCTCGAGCTTCGTCAATGGGGCTTGATGAATCGGCTCTGTCGCTACTGCAACAAGTACTTCCACGACCATTCTTAAGTTCTTTGTCAATCGAACGGTTGGAAGCGACTGCATTGCTTTCACTTCAGCCGTCGGGATGACGTACTCCCGAGGTGTACTCAGCGGTGTATCCGCCATAGTTCTGATTTCGGCGACGTTTGCGAATGCCGCTTCAAAGCAATCAAAATCTCGCTCAATTATATTTTTCATGGCGACGCAGAATGTCTTGAGTGCAACCTTGGAGTCTCTACCCATCGGAGGCTTGGTGATGCTCTTGACAATTTCAAGCTCCATGGCGAATTGTAATGTCCGGGGATCGTTCACCATGTGCCTCAAAATGACCGAAACACTGTCGTTGGTGTTGTTCCAAAAGCATGTAAAGAGCGTGTGTGCAAAACTTCTCTTAGATATTGCGGCTCCATCCTTGCTGTCGGCGAATGAATTCGAAGCGATGCGATCCGCAATCACGTTGTCACGTGATAGATTTGCTAGCAGATCAAGAATCACGGCTTGGACGGAGTGCGATTCATAATCACTCGCGAGTTCGCCTGAATTTTTAACGATTGCTATCAAGCACTCGACGCACGCATCGGCCAACGCAATCTTATGACCGTCGTTCAGAAAACCGAACTTGGAGTAATTTCTGGCACTGGCGTCGGAGTCACGATGCTTTTGCAGGCATGCCGCAGCATTGA